AAAAAATTCAGCAAATGAAAATTACCTTAATATCTGAAGAATTCTGCCAACCTTTTATTTGGTCCCGCAACCTTTGCAGCTTTTTAATTTCCTTTTTCAAATCTTCCTGAAATATACAATAAAGCAGCGAATAAAAATAGCGTTATACCGTTAACGAATGTCACTGATATATCCCATGTACTTACTCTGATTATATACCAGTTTTGATACAGAATGAGATAATAAGAAAAAGGTTTTAAAAAATCATGAAAATCAAAAATAAAGCAAGATTAGCGAAAAATCTTGTCCCAAGAAAGATAAAATAAAAATGAAAAGCATTTACCTGAAATTTCTCCCTTTGGTTTTCGCTGTTCGCTTCCTGCATTTTAAATCTAATCTCTTCAAAGAGCTCAACCCCCTCCTCAACCTGTAAAAACTTGCATTTAAAATAATTTACTAGTGCTATATCCATAAGACTGGACCACCAAAACCAACACTTTCTAGTAACTAAAATTTCACTGAGTAAATGCAAAAAAATTACCGTGTAACAATTTAGGGAAAAACCATATCAAATATTCTTTTTAGCACTGTCAATAAGACTATATCAATTCAACATCTACGTTCACAAAGAAGGTTTCCGATTACAAAAGGTGTTTACCTTTTTAAAGCATTTGTCGATTTCATTAAGTAATTTTCTTTTTTCTGCCATTACGTTCTCTTACCTGGAAAACCAAAATACCTATAAGATTTATTTAAACAACCTCAAAAATTTCAAATTTTGCAAAAAAGAACTGTACTGCACAATAAGGTAAGAACTAAAATCCAGTGAGTCCATTTTAGCAGGAAGACGGAAAACTACTTTGTTTTTGAAGCGAATGGACTCAGAAACCCCGATATTTATTAAAGTTTTACGTTCACAAATGCAACAATACCATCGTAAAATTGAAAAGCTTGGTTTCAGAAATCGCTTTTAATACGAAAATATCTTTAAATTCTTCATCCGATCGTTACCCTTATATGTACAGAAAACTATAATGAGAAAAAGTTTTTATAAAACATAATTACCTGGCTACAAGCAGTAAATAAAATGAGATCCTCGTTGAAAAGTTGAAACTTGACAGGTTGCCAGATGGCATCCAAGCGGAAGCAGGAGATTTATTAATTTTAGCTGTAACTCTACACTATTTCGAAAAAATAACACAAATCGACCTGTACAAAAATTAAAGCTTTCTTGAGCGTAATGAGGGTTCCTAAATAACTACATATAAAAAGGAACGAGTAAACAAGGAAAAAAAAACGAATTCCACTAACATAAATTACGTTCAACACGACGCCCCCTTTAAAAAAACCAATAATTAAAGTGCCGTGATGCTGCATCAAGGACCATAGAAGATGATAAAAATGACTCTACCAGTTAGTTGAAAAAATCAGGATAGCAACTTAGCATCAACTGTATTTAATTCCAGCACAACCGTAAACAAATCTGTTTGCCTTCAAAACTTCCTTTAAGTAACTAATTACTCTTCAGTCAGACTTAGCAGATGAGCCAAAGAAAAGCAGTTGAAGAGAGACAAACGAATGCGACGATTTCAACTAATCATTTCTTCCTTTCCTGCACAATTAAGGGGAAACTTCAAAAAAGTAGCAGAACCGCCTTTCACACTTGGTTAATAAAGAAAAAATCCAATGATGAAAAAAAAAGAATATCTGGTACCATAATAATTTATGGAACATAAAAAAGAAGCCATTGTTTTTACTGGATAGTGTCAAAGCCATTGAAATCAACTAATCTGAGAAAATAATGTTTATTTTCTTCTTAAACTTCAGTAAGCTGTTTAACTGTCGACCTACTATAGATAAGCGAAAGTACGACCTACAGCCAAAAACAAAACATTCCAAACATCACCTATCCTTTCGTCGTCTTTCAATCCGTTACTTCAAAAGAATACAACCGCTTTCTTTTACTAAGGCAGGGTCAAAACTGAGCTACACAACAG